TCATTCAGGTTTGTCTCAACCATTACATGGGTACGATGGTAAGTTCTAAAGCAGGAGTCATTCAGGTTTGTCTCAACCATTACATGGGTACGATGGTAAGTTCTAAAGCAGGAGTCATTCAGGTTTGTCTCAACCACTACATGGGTACGAGGGTAAGTTCTAAAGCAGGAGTCATTCAGGTTTGTCTCAACCACTACATGGGTACGATGGTAAGTTCTAAAGCAGGAGTCATTCAGGTTTGTCTCAACCATTACATGGGTACGATGGTAAGTTCTAAAGCAGTAGTCAGTCTGGTTTGTCTCAAAATTTATACAGTCCCAATAAATGTAATTTGGCGAAACATAGGCTGCATATCTTTTTATTCCCACACAAACGATTTTAACATTTTATTGCTTGTTTGTTTGTATTTTCAGAATTTTATTACGCAGTGACTGCATCTGCCTGATATTCTAAATACTAATTAAATTTTAATTGCAAAATTAGCATTAATAATTTTTGTTAGCATTTTTTTTTTTGAATGAATATCGAAATTTAGTTTATTCATTTCTGAAGCGAAAATCTTCTCCAACTACTTCTTAACTCGGATTATGACTCGCTACTATTAGCATTTCGGTAAAAAAAAAATAGATTGCCGTGAAAAAAAAACACTAAATATTTAAAAATGGCATCAAGTGATAAACTGTTTGTATATTTTAGTTCACTGTTCGCTATTATAAAGGCAAATAGCGACAAGACATTTAAAAATGTTATTTTTACTTTTTATCTTCACGTAATATTCTAAATATTCACGTTTTATTTACTAATTTATTTCCTTAACCTCATATAATTTTAAAATCTGATAAACTATTACTGCACAACCTTTATATCTTCTTACCTGTTCTGAAGTTATTAGCTTGTCTTCTTATGTCATTTGCCAGTAACATATTATTGTCTTGCAATTAACAATTAAATTGTTATTTAATGTATTGATATTTATATTTTTAAACCAAATAATTTTAGAATGAAGTTAAAATAATTGCATCGGTTAAATATTAACACACTTTAAGAACTCTATGCCAAAATCAAATTTATCTTTGAAATTCTTAGTGTTTATAAAAGTCAATGTTGTAAAAGTCATATGATAAATGGGTTTACAAATTATATAGTGACTTTGTTAGATCCACCAATAAATACGCTATTTAGGCACCCTCTATTGATGTTTTTCAGAACTATGTTATTCAGTATTTTCAGAGATTTTTTCTTTTCTTTTTCCATAATAAATTTGCTTATATGTGGTTTTTCAAACACTTTATACATAATATTTTCCGAACTACAGTACTTATATTGTAGAATAAAAAATCAAACAATGTCTTTGATCGATTATTGGATACTGAACTTGTAAACACAAACAGCAAAGTACTTGTAATTTCTTTTGGAGCAAGTTATTGTATATATATATATCACTCTTTTACATAAGCATGTATGTTGTCATGAAACAATCTATAACGCATTTCAACAGTTTTGTTTAGTATCAGTCTAGTAATGTCTGTTTTAATATTTTTATATGCACATTCGTATTAGTTGTGTCCCCACATTTTAATTGCTTTCAATGTACTTTATCATATGCCTTTTTTTTTGTTGTTGATAAACATGACGATACACTGTGTGGGCCAAAAAAGGTCAACAATCTTAAATGTCTGAACTTGGGAATGTGTCTGCCAAGTGCGTATGTGAATTTAATGTGACACTCTTGTGGAGACTGGGCAGATGATAATCTTAGGCTAGTTTCAAAATAAAGCTATGTCTACAAGGTGTGTGTGGCACGTTTTGGGGGACCGGGCAGATGATAATCCCTAGGTTACTTTCGAAATAAAACTGTGTCTACCAGATGTGTTAGTTTAATGTGACACGATTGTGGAGGCTGGGTAGATGATAATCACTAGATTACTTTCGTAATAAAGTTGTGTCTACTAGATGTGTGTTTAATGTGACACGATTGTGGGGATCGGGCAGATGATAATCATAAGATTACTTTCGTAATAAAGCTGAGTTTACCAGGTGTGTGTGTACTTAGTGTAGTAGTTGTAGTCTTGGCAGAAGTTAATCACTTTAAGTAATCATTATCTCTAGAGTAATGGAAACAAATGGACGATAGGCTTAATCTAGCAATCCGGGCTATTGATGAATCGGAAAATACATTGGATAGTGTTGGGGTGTCTCAAGTCACAAAAACTGTTACATTAGCATATTAACTTTACAGCCTAAACCTAAACATTAATTTATAAATATGGGCATTAAACTTCACTTATTAAACGTTGTAAGAAAATAAAAGGTGGATTGTTGCAAACACTTTCGTACAAATGCCACCGAAATTCCACGACACATGTACAGTTATGAAATAGGCTTAACTCGTGTTAATCTTTATAGCATCTACTCATGCTGCGTTATAAGTGAGAATCTTTACGGAGTATTTAAAATCTTTATACAGGGTTCTTTCAATGTTATCTGTTTCATATGCTATAAATACAGCAAATCTGTATTTTAATAAAGAACAGACCATGTTTATTAAGTTTTCTGAGGGTATTGTGTTGAATTTGTAGCAGAACTGCATGTATTTGTGTGATTTTTTTTTTGAAGAATTAAAATTGTGTCGAAAGTAGCTTTTTACACTTCGTTAGTTTAATAACAGAGCATTTCTTTTATAAAAGGTCCGTTGATGTCGGAAACTTTGTCTCAGACCAAGTACATTTATTTCGTATCAAATTAGAAAAATCACTCGGGGGTCTTTAATAAAAAATTATTGGTTTAAAACAATTTTCACTTGATTGAAACATATACTGAATGATTGGGAATAACAAGAACTCTAACATGTTGACAAACATAGCTCATAACGGAGAATTATAAAACTGAGCTCACAGTCATGTAACGCTAGATAGTAGTGTGTATTATACACTACACATGTGTAGTGTATTGAGCTCACAATAGTCATGTAACGCTAGATAGTAGTGTATATTATACACTACACATGTGTAGTGTATTGAGCTCACAATAGTCATGTAACGCTAGATAGTAGTGTGTATTATACCTGTTATTTTAAGTGTAAGTTGGACTTACACGTAACTAATGCAGTATGAACTTATAATAAATTACGATTGGTGTTGTTTAGTTTTCTGCTACTGAACTAGGATTCAGAGAAAAAATGTTTCGCAAAAAGTAAGTGTAAATTCTAGTAGTGTCATTTAACATTGAAATGGCTTGTGTTGCCAGATCAGCTGCAATTATAGCTTTACGCTCTCGAAGTGTGAAGACGTTGTTGTAATATTTCTTGATCAACAAATGTTATGTGATGGTTAACCATTCCAATTGCATTATGTGACAGCTAAAAACAACCAACTCTTACCACTTAAAGTATTTCTGATTTTATTAACCACGACGCGAAATGAAACATTAACCACACGAGTCAAGTACTAAATAGTTATATTTTCTGATTAATCTATTACACAACTCTTAATAATAGCTAATAAAGTGATGCTTTGTATATTATCAACTTGGGTAACTAAGTTAATTGGAGAGACACTTAGCAGTTGCATTGTGGTTTACCTTAACTGGAACAAGTGTTTGTTACAATTGCGTGTATGGGTTTTGTTATAAATGTAAATGTCTGTATTGTATGATATACTTCTGTTCGATAAACGCATTTCCTACTCGAGAGTTTTACCTAGCAAATGATTAGTAAAACAAAAGCTTGAAAGTAACACAACATAAACCGAAAATAAATACTTATTTATTTACATAAATATAAAACCTATATGAAGCTTGTACAGCTCTTGATATGAAAATATAACTTGTTGAGACGCTTCTGTAAATTCTGAGCCAGTTCCAGGCGATGACTGACGTCAGGCAATCTCGCAAACAGAGGTTCGTATCTTTTCACAAAGTCTACCAGGAGATTATAGAGGGCTCCGTGATGATACAACCACCTAATACGCTGTACTGTTGACTTACGAAATATACAGATAGTATTTAACATATTTTCATGAAAAGTAACAAAGCGATGATTTTGTTCTCCGGGTCCGAGACTAGGCTCCCCGTACATCAGCGAATAGCTATCCAATAAACCACTCTCGTTATCAATAAGCCACAAACTTCCAGTTTTTCGAGATTTAACGAGATTATGAATAGTTTCGTGAAGGATTAAAGAATTATTCTCTTTGTCCGCAGCATCCTGCATACTCGCTACTCTGAAATGATGGGTAAACAATTACAGTTAAAATAATTCCTAAACTAGAACGCTGATTCTAAAACAACAATGGACAAATAATATCGAGTGAGTTATCAAAACAAAGTAGAAATATAATTCGAAACATAAGATACTAAGTTATCAAAACAAAGCAGAAATATAATTCGAAACGTAAGATACTAAGTTATCAAAACAAAGCAGAAATATAATTCGAAACATAAGATACTAAGTTATCAAAACAAAGCAGAAATATAATTCGGAACGTAGGATACTAAGTTATTAAAACAAAGTAGAAATATAATTCGGAACGTAGGATACTAAGTTATCAAAACAAAGTAGAAATATAATTCGAAACACAAGATACTAAGTTATCAAAACAAAGCAGAAATATAATTCGAAACACAAGATACTAAGTTATCAAAACAAAGCAGAAATATAATTCGAAACATAAGATGCTAAGTTATCAAAACAAAGCAGAAATATAATTCGAAACATAAGATACTAAGTCTTAATTTTCAGCATCAACGATATATGACAGAAATGTTTATAAATTACGAATCCAGAATAAAATGGTTGAATTTTTATTGTTGTTATTTTTGTTTCAAAGGACATATGGTCAGGTCACAGAACCTTAGTGTTCAGGCGTAGCTATCTCTAACTTTGAGTTACTAAACAGAAAGAAGACAGGAGGTAGCCACAGTCACAATGAATTTGTCCCTTTCTTTGAACCGAATTTAATTGTCGATTTTATAACACTCATAGCGAAAAGTTGAGATCGTGTTTAGAGGCAACCCTGGACTTTTTATTTTTAGCTCAACATACTAATCACTAGGCCAAGCCCGGCCATCAAGTAATATATTCGAAAGATGTGTTAACTTTAAAAAAAAAGGGGGGGGGGGGCTCGGATATCAGTGCTCTCATGAATATTGATCTGTTTAAAAGTTAATTATATGTCAACTTAAAAAATAAATAAATAGGGATTGGTATATCAGTGCCTTAGCAAGCATTGATTATTTAAAGTTAATTATATGTAAACTTAAAAACAAAATTGACTGGGACGCCAGTACTGATTTCCTTTAAAAGTTAATTATCATTCCCGGTTCATTAAACTTCTCTATATTTATGTTATTTGTGGATTATCTCTAACTTAGGCATTGAATTATCTGAGCTCACCCCTTCCATGTAACTGTTATCATTTATAATGTTTCACTCAATAAGTCATTAGTTTCAACTTCTGATAATTATAATTATTAATAATTACCCAATTTTACCTGTCGTAATTCCCTGTTAGGTAGTCGAACATTATTAAATCGCTCCACTGGAGTAACTCGACAGCGTCGACAAGATGAACGTCTTTCAAACGAGACGATCGAGAACTTATAGTTTTGTTTGTCAGAAGGGCTTCAAGAATCGCCTTCGGCATTCGATCTCTAGAATTAAAAACATATTCTTAATTACAAAAGTCAGTGCTAAATCAACTTATGTTAATAACGTCAAGAATTAAAGTCGATCTTGAACAGATATTCTATACTTTTATCATTATTTCAATTTTAAATGAAAGAAAACACTAAATTCTTTCTCTTAACTCTTATACTGACAGTTGTTAACTTGAATATTTACAGTAAAGAGGATTTAAATTCCTTTTTTTCTTCTTTGGCTAAGTTGAACATTTAAACGAAAGAAGGCCCTGAATATTCCGTTTTTTAAATTAGTGAATTCATAACTTGAACACAAAAACAAAAGTCTTGAGCGACGGGCTATTATACTTCCAATTATGTTATTTATACGCATCTTTCTTTATATTTTCTTACACATATAATCTGTTTGGACCTTGACCCTCTTTCTCCTTGTATGTTGATAAATAAATTATTTCCCCATCACGCTCTTGCAAATACACTAGAAACCTCTTATCGTATTTATTTTATCTTCGATATAATTATGTGATATTTATTACGAGAGATGGCAGCATAAACTCTATTTTAAAATCAGTTTCACTATAAGATATCAAATGTTACAAGTCTTTTTTATGTTAATTGGAAAATAAAAATCGCATACTAAATGACGGTACCACATAATATTTTAATATTCTACGAATGTTATACTCAATTAAAGTACTTAAAAATAAAATTCTAAACCAATAAATTTCCTATTTGTTTAAAAAATGTTTGATTTTTTTATATTATACTTCTAAGAATTGTTGTTAATAATGGCAATAATGTAGGTTTAGCTTGTCTCTTGTTCGTTTAACCTTAATATTTGATTAAATAACGTAAATTATGTACACTAAAGATTCACAAAATCTATGAACGATTTTGCATTCTTAAAAACGTGTACTTTAAATACGAACAATTTTTATTTGTACTCTAAATACTAAGGTAAACATAACATGAATCGATTTTAGGCTTAACATAAAAAGTTGAATTCTAAGACTTTTAGTTACACAAGCAGCTGAACAGTGGTCTCACCTTTCAAGGTAGTCTATCCATTGAATCAACGCTACTGTCGCATTTCCTGCCCAACCCGCCTTCATCACGGCTTTGGTTACAGGTGGTTCTCCCCACTGACCACTAACATCAGGAGCTGACAATGTTACCACAGGCACGTTGTGGATCCCCAGAAGCCGGGCAAGATAGAAAGACATTAACTCTCCTGTTGAATAAAACATATCTCTATTATGTTGTAAGTATACTAATGTCTAGTTGGAGAAATAGACAGATGGACACACACGGATAAATAGTTACATAAAAACAAGAATAGATACAAAAACACTTGAATATATATTTCATATGGAATATATATTGTGATAAATAACACCATTTTTTTCATTAGTTTCGTGTTTAACATGACATGCAAATACACTACATCATAACTTCAGGTAATACTGAAAACTTTGCAATAACAACTAATTCAAACTCGTTTCTCTTAAACAAAAAACGCCAAGTTTTTTACCTTGTACTAAATAATCGTGAGGTGCTCTATAACGAGCACAAACGTGAGAGCCGTCTTTTAACGTAATGTATAAGTTCTTTGGTCTCCCGCAACGGTTCCACGTTGATGGATCTGCTCGAATCACCGGCAGATGGCGAAGGCGTCGAATAGATTTATCCACTTCAACGTCACTTATACCTAAAATCAACATCAACCACTTGTTCAGTAACATGTAATGTACTGAATTACGTTGGAAAGTAAAAAAAAAGAAAAAAAAGAACAACAGCAAAACCTAAAACAAGTGACAAGAGATAACAGACGTTTTTACGGCTTCATATGTTTGTTTCAGATTCCTGAGGATGACGTAAAACATGTAGTGTGTGTGTGTGTTTTGACACCGTTCACGGTTTCCGAATAAAGTTTATAAAATACATACTTAGAAATTTCGATCGTTTGAATGTTCTAATTAATTATTTACATAAGTACCTTGAATTTTAGCCTTTTGAATTAGGAAATTATTCAAATTAAATTAATATGTCAATTCAATTATTCATGAAGGCATTTTCCACTGTTTTAGACGTAAATGTTTAAAGAACGGGAATTTCTTTAACCACATAGGTTTTAAAGAAGCCATTTTTTGTCATTTTGGCGCCACATCGTGTCATCCTTACTCATAAAATTTATCATCCTCTTATCCTTTTGTTTCTGAGCCATGATAATCTGTGCTTATCCTGATGACTTTATGTCAGAATTAATTTTTAAAGACATTCCAGTTAATATAGGTTTAAAACCCAACATTATAAGTAAAATATATAAAAGATACTTCAATAGCATAACTATTTCCCTCTGCACAAGATTAAAACGTAGTGATATCTCAAGTGATAAAAGTATCTGTTTTCTATATTTTTAATCAACTTCTACTCGAATTGGAAATATCTTTCATAAATATACTGATTGCCAAGTAACTTATTCTACCCGTTTTCAGTTATAAAATATTGTTAGTGAATTGACAGGTAAAGTTCAACAAGACGATAAATTCGTTTTTTATAAAATTCCATGCACATGCTGCTTATTCTATAAAGTGCAAACAAGTAAAAGTGTAGATTGAAAGATTGCAAAAATAACATCGAAAAAGGAAAATTAGACTCGTGAGAAATAAATCCAATATTATAAACTGGTCTCATGTTAGATTAACCAGTACAATAGGAAAATAAACGCAAACTAAACTTTAGAGCATCACTACGATTTATAAATAAATAAAATAGTTAGTAAAGTTTCCGGTCCAGCTGGCATTAAAAGTATATTTGTAAAATTATCTTATACAAATTTGTACTGTGTTCTATTACTGATATTATTGGTATTAATGTTATCACAAACTGTATAAAAAGACTAACGAGTTTTAAAACGTACAATTTGTCATTACATACATAATCTCTAACAAAGAAAGTGCTGCCTATTATTTGGCTAAGACAAAGCCTTACGTACACCAATGTAGTTATGATGATGAAACTAAATGACCCCTGCTTAAAATATTATCCTCTTACTCAAGTAGTGGTTGAGACAAACCTGACTGACTCCTGCTTTAAAACTTACGCTCGTACCTGCGTAGTGGACAGTACAAAAACTTACCTCGTGGTGGCTCAGCGGCAGGCTTTATGATTTATAAAGCTAAAATTCAAGTTTCGAACCCCGCGATAGACACAGAAAAGAAGCCCATTCTGTAGCTTTGGGCATAATAACAAACAAGTAAAATATTGGGGCTTTTACAACGGCTTTATCCTTTTCTTTATATTGAGCTAGTATTTCGCTTAACTGGAAATCAGTAAAAGTAGAATGTATACTTAAATTAAATTAATAAGTTGCGAGAAATAAAGAATACAACTAGATTGAGATAACATTTACATTCATGTTATTTGTTCTAGTGTTTAAAATATTTGTAAAGGAGTAGCATGTTTTTTGGTAAGATAGTTCTTTAGTCGGTTTCATTTGAATATTTTTCTACGTTTTTAAACATTATCATTGCATATAATTTGGCATGAAATTAGATAATAAGTTTCATTCTCAGTTTAATTCTGTATCATTAAATATTATTACTGTCATAATTGCATGTAGTTTGGTTGCATAGTTTATAATTTTTTTTTATTGTTTATTTATTCGCCGTCACAATTTTGTTTTATATTATTTCATAATAATTTCAGTATTGATTTATATTTTTCGTGCTATATGATTAAGATATAGCAAGTGCATTATTAATTGAATTTAGAAATTGTGTATTAATCATTACATTTCGGTTAGTAAGATATGGTAAAATAGTTTTTACACAGTGTATCGCTTGAGTTACGTATTGCTTTGGTAACAAGCTTAGTTATTTATTAAACTTTGTGTGTTAGTTATTGTATAATATCTCTAAGACATTGACCAATGATTTAATTTTTTGTAGGTCCTCGGAATGGTTTTGTCCTGTGCTCTTTTTATGATGATTAGAAAATAGTGAGCCTGGATTCTGGCGTCCTCTGGTGGCTTTCACAGACACTATTCAATTTTTGCATTTTCTTTTTTTTTTAATTGCGGTTTTAAATTCTAATATGTTGCGTTCTCGAAAGATCAAGAGAATATGTAATAAACATTACTTCAAATCAGGAAGAAAAAGCTATTTCTCTAAAGAAAGAGATGAAATAGTTCAAGATCAGCATCTTTAAAAGAGTTCAACAGAATACCTTTTTTTACAGTTTATAAAAAACTTAAGTGCCTTCTTCAAGAAAGGTTTTCTCTTGATGTAAAGGGAGACATTTTTTTTTAGAAAATACAAGCTTTCTTTTAAAAATAATTAATCAGAATGTTTTTCTCCAACGTTTTTATTTTTTCATTATCGTGAAATAACTTTAAGAAAAATATAATGAAAAGTTCTCTACATTGTAATGTACCTGTAACATATTTCATTAGCTGATACCAAGTTTTCCTTGGAATTAATAAGTCACGAAGCTTGTGTGTGTTTTTTTGGGGGGGGTTGTTTGTTTTTCTTTTGTAATACTTTCTGCATTTTTTACTCTATTTACCTTTCCATACTGAATATTTTACAGTTCTTAACTTACAGTGTGAGATATAACTCGCAGGAAGGAGCTATGAGCCAGTGTAAAATGACATTTTTTTGTCTAAATGGGAAACAAAAGAGTAGTTATTGATAGCACCATATGAGTGTTAAGATAAAGTATATGATAAGACTCTTTAGATTTTAAATACTGATTATCAAAGTAAACTAAACGTCTATTTGAAGTCTAGTTTAAACCAAACTAGTCATTATTTATTTTACCTTTAAAAACGATAAACTATATTCTTATAGGCTAGTTTGCGACTTATTATAGTCTTTCAATGCACGAGTAAAAGCTTGCATAATACAAACGAAGAGCACAATTTGTCGTGTACACACCTACAACTCGGATCCTACATTAAAAATGTAGAAGAATATTAAAATG